TGAGACTGTTAATGTCTTGCTTCTCCTCAATCTTTTGCCCACTCATTTTAGCATCCATTGGTGGGATCCTACATGCAACAGTTATTACTGTGGTGTTTGCATACTTGTGATCTTTTAAATCTCCTTCATTTCACCTATGTTTGTTCATTGGAGAAGCTGCATCTTCTCCGTATGTTTATTTATTATATTAGCTATATAAATGTCATGTACATTTTATTCTATGGGCTATAATCTAGTACCATCATTATTTATTTTATGACTTAAATTCTTTTGGCTATTGGGAACTCCTAGTTGGCTCCCAAGTCCTTTTGATACATCCCATCTTTTATTGAATAGTTGATTATTTTCTGTGATCATAAGATATTCCACATATATTGCCTCTGCCCCAGACCTAGAATTAACCACTTATTCAAGGAGTCCTGGTTCTTTTTGCTGAAGAATTGTATTTAGAAATCAAGATCAGGGCTCTTGGTGTGCTTATTGCTATGGCCATTGTTTCTAGATCCTCTCAGCAAGAACATGTACATATACCAACCTGTGCATATGCATACACTCACACCTATTTTTACATCTACCTGTAAGTATATATTCAGGGTGGGACAAAAGTAGTCTTACAGTTGTTGATATGAAAAAAGAATATAATCATTAATAAATAATAATACAAGAGTAAACTGTGGTTTGCATACTCACAACTGTAAACCTACTTTTGCTCCACCCTGTATTTTAAACCATGAGTTTGTACTGACACCTCTGGTTCCAACTCAGACTGACATTTCATTCCAGCCTTTCCCTTTCTTTATTTTTAAGTTATTTCTCAGACAGTGGGAAGCCTTTTCTAGAGGCCACCTGAATTCCTTGGTTCATGTCCCCTTCCTCCCTCTCTAAACCAGCAGTGTAGCATCTTCATGTCTCTCTAACTCTGACTCTCTTGCCTCCATCTTTCATTTATAAGACCCTTGTAATTACATTGGGCCTATCTAGATAATCCCGGATAATCTCAAATCTTAGTCAATCACATCTGCAAACTCCCTATTTGTCCTATAAAGTCATATATCGACAGGTTCAGGACATAGATGTCTTTGGTGTGTGGGGGTGGGGAGTATTATTATTCTGCCCACCATAGAAACTTATTATTTCCAATATTTGCTATTATAAACAGTGCTACAATAAATAACCTTGTGCTCTCACATTTTTGTACTATTGGAGGTGTATCTTCAGAGTAGATTTCTAGAAGTGGGATGCTGGGTCAAAGGCAGGTGCTAGATAGCTTTGATAGGTATTGCCACATTTCCCTTCCAAAGGGTTGTACCAATTTAAGAGCGCCTGTTTTCCCAAAGTCTCACCAACAGAGTTTATGGTCTTGCTTTTTAATTTTTGCCCATGCCATGGGCAAGAAAATGGTATCTTAGTCTTACTTTTGCTTGTCCATTTTTCTACTGATTTTGATTTTTTTTAGAGTGGAAAGGAGGGAGGGAGGAGGAGGAGAGAGAGAAATAGCGATGTGAGACAGACACATTGATTGGTTGCCTCCTGCACACTTCCAGATCGGGGCCAGGGACTGAACCTGCAACCCAGGCACATGTACTTGACCAGAAATCAAACCCCTCGACCCTTCAGTTCGTGGGCCAATGCTCTAACCACTGAGCCATGCTGGCCAGGGCCTAAGTCTTGTTTTAATTTGCATTACTTAATATGAGTAAACTTGAACATTTTCTCACATGTTTGAGTGCCTTTCATATATCTTGTTTCTGTAAATTGTCTGCTCATTGGTCTTTTTGTGCTCTGTCCCTTAATTATTAAGAGTTCTTTATGCATTAGGGATATTGACCTCTTGTCTGTGGAAATATATTACCATTATTTTCTCCCAGATTGTCATTTGCCTTTGACTTGGTTTATGGAGGGGTTTTCTTGCATGAATTTTTTTTTTTTAATTTTTATGTGTTCACATTAACAATCATTTACTTTATTGCTTCTGCATTTTTAGTAATTTAGAAAGTTTTTTCCTATACCAAAGTTAAAGTGGTAGTCATCATGTCTCTCTCTGGTACTTTTATAGCTTTATTTATTTATATTTAGATCTCTAATCCATTTGGAATTTATTCTCATATATGGTGTGAGATATGGATCTAATTTTATCTTTTCCCAAGTCACCACCTTGTAGTACCTACATTTATTAAAAAAATCCATCTTTTCCTCCAGTGAATTTGAGATGTCACCTTTATTAAGATTCTATATGTACTTGGACATGCTATTCAACTCTCCAATTTATCTCTTCATACCAGTGCCGCACTATTATAATTATAGATGTTTTTTAATATGTTTTGATGCCTGGTTAGGCTAGTATGTACAATTGCAGGTTATCTTTTCAGTGTTTGTTTCATCTTTGCTTTCTCTTAGAAACTTTAGTTCAACTTATCCAGGAATCAAATCTTCCATCTTTGGGTGTATAGGATGATGCTCCAAACAACTGAGCCCCACTAGCCGGTGTGAAACCTATATAATTTTATTAACCAGTGTTATCCCAATACATTCAATAAAAAATAAACAAACAATCTAATTTTAAAATGGGAAAAACACCTAAACAGACTTTTTCCCAAAGAAAACATAAAAATGGCCAATAGGTACATGAAAGGTGCTTAATATCACTAATCATCAGGCAAATTCAAATTGAAACCACAATGAGAGATCACCTCACACTTGTTAGAATGGCTATTGTCAAAAAAAGAAGAGACTGGTGAGGGAAACCTGGTGGGATAAATCAATGAATAAATGTGATGGATATATAATTGAATTTTTTTTGTATGACTAACTTTAAAATTTTCTTTTCTGTTCATTATATTATATGTATATGACTATCACACATATGAATATTATGAATATTATTCAGCCATAAAAGAAGAAAACCCTGCCATTTGTGACAACATGGATGGACCTTAAGGACATTGTGCTAAATGAAAAAAGTCAGAGAAACAAATACTGAAAGATCTCACTTTTAGGTGGAATCTAAAAACATCACACTTATAGAAACAAAGAGTAGAAAGGTACTTAATGAGGGACTTAGAGATGGGGAAAATGGGGAGATGTTGACCAAAGGGTACAAACTTTCAGTTATAAGATTAGTAAATTCCTGGAATCTAATGTTCAGCATGCTCACTGTAGTTAACAGAATTGTCTTTTATATTTGAAAGTTGCTATGAGAATATAACTTCAATGGTTTCATCACAATAACAATAAAGGTACTAATTATGTGAGGTAAAGGATGTGTTAACTAACCTTATTGTGCTAAACATTTTACAATATATGTGTGTATCAAATCATCACATAGTGTACCTTAAACTTACATGTTATATGTCAAGTATATCTCAATAAGCTGAGAAAAACAACTTAACCCACCAATAATGATTCAAAAATTCAAATTAGTGTACTCCATCACTGGTGTTTGCCTTCTAATGTACCTTAGAATAAGCATTATTTCAAATAATAGTAACTTGGATTAAATAATGGAGTAGTAATACTGAAAAAAAAAGAGTGGTATGATGTCTATTACATTTAAAAAGGGTTTGAAAATTTCCCCTCCATCTATGCATGAAATAATTTGGGGAGCCAATCTAGTTATCACACATATTTTACACAATCTGAGCATATACAGGGTTGGACAAAAATAGGTTAGAATTCTTACAGAGAGGAAGGCCATGAGAAGACCCAGAGAGGAAGGCTATGTGAGAGTGAAGGCAGAGGTTCAAGGTTGCATCACAAGCCAGGAGATTCCAAGGATTGCTGGCAGCCTTGGGAGTCTGGGGAAGATAAACACATTCCTCTAGATTTTTACCTTGACAAAGAAGGGTCAATCTTAACCCCTAAAGAGCCTGCTTACGTCCAGTGCAAGGTCTGCCAATGATGAAATTAACCAGGAATGGCACTTTGATAGTGATGAAAAAGAAGAGATGGTACTTGGACCTGAAGAAGAAGGAATGATGCCTAGAGATACAGAAAAACCTATGTGTGCTAATGGGACAAACAAATGTTTGGGGCCCCCAACCCCAAATCCACCACATGCCCTAGAGCTTCAAACCTCAAGAGGGGCCAAGGAGCCAAGCCCTATCTTTGTATCTAAAATCTCATTCTCCTCTCCCAGTTTCTTCCCACAGTAGAAAGAAGATAAGGAAGGGAAACTGAATCATATTATTATTCCATTTCTCCCCACCCTGTGGTTTACATCATGAATTCTACGCTTGCTTTCCTCTGTGCTTTACTACTAATATACTGTGCCAAGATTTTAGAATTAAGAATGACAACTTTTCTCTCCCAAGAATCTGACTCTCTCAAAATAATGGGCTTGGGCGTTCAGGTTGCTGCTGCTTCTGTGTTTTCTAAAAATCCGTGCAGAAATTAAGTCTTCTGTGCTCTGAGCTGTATCTGCTTTCTGCTTCAAAGCAATGAAAAGCACTGACTGAAGTGGTGAAGGACTTGGGGCAACAAGAAAATTGTCACAAATAAAAATCTCTATTGATGTCTCTAAATAATACCCCTCTACCATTATATCATGGTGTGATATGGACCTGATGATACTCCAAATGAATTTCAATTTGGAGTTGGATGGATTTGGAAGGCAAAATTTTTTCAGTCCAACTTGTAATAAAGGCCAATAAGATATATCAGCATTTAAAGGCACATAGATCTTTCCTCACATGTGTTATAATCTGACCATATATATATTAGGCTTGGATAAAAGCTTGAGACCATGGTGTGTTCAATACCTCAAGACACAGAAAAAGAATATCGTACCTATTCTGTATGTATTCCAGGAAGATTTCACTGCCAAAGTAACAGTTGTTAATAGTTTTCCAGAGCGACCTTAGTAAAAGTCTATTGAGAATAAAAAAATTAAAAAAGATGAATCAAAGAAATTAAAGAATGAAAAACACTGGAAAAGCAGATTATTAACTATGCTCAGGTTAAAAAGATGAATAACCACACTTTTTCTTTTGTGTTGTCCTCAGCTGGAAAGGCAGCTAATGATGCAGAATGAAATGAGAGAAAGACAAATGGCCATGCAGGTTGCCTGGTCTCGGGAATTCATCAAATATTTTGGAACATTTTTTGGCATTGCAGCCATCTCTTTAACAGCTGGGTATGTTTGTTATTTACTTTAAAATTTTCCTTAAATAATTTATTTTTGTCTTTGCCGTTATCATATTATTATTAAGTTGGCCAAGAAAGGACTTCGGTCCAAATACTATTATATAAACAAAGCAATCCATTATAGTTTAGTACTCAGAAGTAATTCTGTAGAAACAGGGTAATAGTTAATTCTGCCTTTAGTTTCTTTGATTTCCTCTGTCCTTTTCTCCATTTTATAAGTTAGAGAACTAACTTGACACTGAGATAGGAGGAGGCTTCTACAAGTTTATTTCTACAATCCCTAAAATGGTTTATCACTGTTTATAAAGTGAGTAACTTGAGCCTCGGCATCAAATACATATGAGCAAGTCAAAGACCCTGCCTGCCCTGGAGAGCTGCAGAGCCTGTGAGGAGTTATGGGTAAGGAAATCCTATTTCCGAAGAAGACGCAAACGAATTCAGTAACTTTAGAAATGCACATTCTTTTAAAATGCAGATAAAAAATTTTTCATTGAGTATAGAGATATGTATTTATATGTCACTTCTTGATATTTATTCTTCTTTGTTCTTAAACCAGAGCAATAAAAAGGAAGAATCCAGCCTTCCTCTTCCCTTGCATTCCATTAGGCTTTGTCTTTAGCTACCAGTATGACTTGGGCTATGGAAACCTTCTACAAAGAATGAAAGGTAAGTCTTTGGTAAACCAGACTCTCTATTTTTGATTTATTATCTGGTTAAAGGATCCCCTCCTTATGATCCCTTGACTTAGGTAGGTTCTGACAAGACCCTCTCCCTGGTTGTTAAATGCAGTAATTATTAAAAATTAAATTATATAAACTTACAATGAAAAAATTACAGAAATAAACATTAAATTATATTAAAAACAATGGTAAAAAGTACACAGAACTGACCAGTTTCTAATTATTATAATCTACACTTTTAGGTTATATATATCTATACTCTTAAGTTATGAATATCTATGGTATCTGTATGGTAGAAATGCAGATATAATATACAATACAATAAAATACAGATACAACTCCAACTTTAGTGACATCCCATTGGTATCCTGAAGTTGATCATGGAGTATTTACACCATGGAAATCTGCAAATGTCAAATCAAGCCTTGACTTATTTTTTTGTTGATTGCTTAGACTAGGGGTTGGCAAACTATGGCCTGTGGGTTGACCACCTATCTTTGAAAATAAAGTTTTATTGGAACACAGATATGTCCATTTATTTCTGAGTTGTCGTTGGCTGCTTTTCCATTACTGTGACAGAGCTGAGTTATTGCAACAGAGATGAAAGGCCTCACAGGCCTAAAATATTTACTGTCTGGCTCTTTAAGAAAGTTTGCCAACCCATGGTCTAGACTTAGATAGTGATGAAGAATATGTTAATAATGCAGATTACGCTTAAAAGTGTGTTGTGTTCATAGCTATTACATTGTGAATAGCTTAAAAAATGAGGAAATATTCTCCCAATATTTAAAAAACTGATTCAGCAAAGTTGTTCACATCATTCTCAAACGACTGAGGTTCTGACATAGGTCATTGTTTCATTTTTGTCGTACTCATTAATGTAAATGGAAACACCAACCATCATTCATATTGGAATCATGTTCATTCATCAACTGCTAAGGTGTGACTACAAGAGTTCAGCAAAAACCAATGAAAACATTCTGTAAGAATCAATTTGCTATATGGAATTTATGCCCAATATGTTGTACATTTTATTATTTATAAATAGTGTGCCACATATATTTTAAGTAACATCTCTAATAAACTTATGTAAATAATAAACTTATTTACATTTTCCCCCAGAGAGCTGGTTGTTAAATATTCACCAGCACTGTGCTGCTCTCTCAGAACCCTGGCTCTCACTGTCCTAGCAAATAGACTGCTGCCACAGAAGCCATTCTTGTCCCAGGAAGATAGTTTCCCGTTAGTCTAGGGATTCATGTCTTCCAAATTCCCACCACTTCTTTGAGAGCTATACTCACATGAGGATCCCTCTGTCCCCACTTTTCGAGCCTTTAACCCAGAGAACACGAAACAGTATTTTCCCAAGCTTTCCTTTTTGCCATCCTGCTTTCTCCTGGGCTGTGGGCCCATCCTTGCAGCTCTGTGGGGACTGCTTTGGGATGAAAGGAGGAGGCACAGGCTTGGGAGTAGGGAGTAGAACATCTCAGTCCTAGGCCTGGGGAGATGAAGGAATTATATGTTCTTAAAAATGCCCATTTGAAAATAGAAATATATTTCCACATAGATACTATGTAAAAGTGCCCTTTGTGGTCAGGCATTATTGGTATCATAGTTCAGCTACATTGTGGGCTAAATAGTTCCTTGTTGATGGCCTAGAAATTGGTTTACAGCATTATTACTATGGGAAAATGTATTCCAAGAACTAAAACACTGATCTACAAATTAATTTTTAGAGTTCAATCCCATTTGAAGCTGGAAATTAACTGTACACAGCTGATTTACTAATGTTAAAACCCATTTCAGTAACCAGCTCAGTTTCACATTACTCATCTGCTTAAGGATTCATTAGTCTGAGCTCAAGTGTGTCCTTTTGTTTTATATGGACATTAGAATTCTCAGTGCCTCATGAAAATCCGTGGTATTAAGATATGTCAACTCACCCTGGCCTGTTTGGCTCACTGGTTAGAATGTCGGCCCCCGGACTGAAGGGTCCTGGGTTTGATTGTGGCTAAGGGCACGGACCTCAGTCGCAGGCTCAATCCCCAGCCCTGGTCAGGGCACGTGTGGGAGACAACCAATCGATGTCCCTCCCCGCCCACCTACCCCCTCTCTTTTCCTCTCTTTCCCTCTCCCTCCCTACCATTCCCTCTGAAAAGCAATGGGGGGGAAAATACCCTCAGCTGAGGATTAAAAAAAAAGCTGACAAATATCAATGAGCCCAAGAAATTACTAGCTGTTATCTAAGAGGAATTGTTTATAAAAATGTGTAGATGTGTATGTAGGTATGTATGCATACAGACTAAAGAATATTTAATATTATTTGGGGTATTTACAAGTAGTTTCAGGTCAAAGATCAGCTTTCCTAAAAATTTAGAATTTTTAGTAAATTTTATTTCTCTCATGTCGCTTATGGTACATTAAGAGGCAATAGGAAGAGGACTGCCTCAGATCCCTCCAGACACAACTAATACTTATCATCCTGACTTTCCATCAAGGAAAAATAAAATATTACTTGGTATGCCTTCTCTTCTACATTTTAAAATGTTGTTATCTGTTAAAATCCCTAGCATCTGATTTATCTCTCTGCGAGTCTTCAGAATTCATCGCTGTATTTCCTTTGAGAGGTCACTTCTCCTGAGGACAATGGGTGAAATATTTAACTGTAAGACTATAGGATGTCCCGCAATCAGTGTGACAGCTTGTCACTGGAACATAGCACATAGGCCTTCTCACAAAATGCCGATATCCCTTTTGTCACCTTGCATATGTTTGTACTTTATTTAAGGTGAAGCTGAAAACATACTGGAAACAGAGAAGAGTAAGCTACAGCTGCCAAAAGGAATGATTACTTTTGAAAGCCTTGAAAAAGCCAGAAGGGAACAAAGTAAATTCTTCATAGACAAATGATACCATGTTTACCCACCGAATCTCAAAACACAAAATTGTTGACTTGAATCATGGTTTTTATAGTTTTTTAAATGCTCAAGATTTTGATATAACGGATTTTATTGTAAAATATTAAAATGCAAGATCAGTTTTGTTAAGCTATTTTAAAAATAAAATTTATAACATTCAACAAAAAAGGAGGTACTCTAAATAGCTTTCAGACTTCCTGTATATGTATATTACAAATATCTAAATGTAAAATTAATAAACTATATTGTTTTGAACTCCTGAAAAACAAATATACTACTGCTCTCATTTCTCTGTCTCACACACTTACCCCATCACATTTGTCTTTTATTTGGATTTGTCAGTTGTGTCCCGTCTCCACATGACAGAAACAACTAATATTAATGACTAAAATGTATATTGTGCTTACTACAGCCAGGCACTGTTCTGAGTGTTTTGTGTATATCCTTGTAATCATTCCAACAATCCCATCATGTAGGCATCATTTCATGGATCTGGAAACTGAGGCACAGAAAGGTTGAATTACTTGCCCAAGGTAGACAGAACTGGGACTTGAACTTAGACAGTTTGGCTCCAGTGGCTATGCTCTAAAAGGCCTTGAAAAAGCTAGGCCTTAATGCATTCTTGACATGATGTGAAAGACAAAAGGCAAAAACATTAAAATAGTGACTCAGGGCATAGTTGCTAGAGAGGAGGGATAGAGGGGGAGGTTGATTAGGATGCTCATCTTATTTCTACTCACCAGGAAACCTATATTCCTAAAATAATCCAATTTATACCCTTTCCTATAGTTGCAAACACTACATAATATATATTAATTCCAAAGATATTTATTGATATTTACTATAGCCTGGCATTGTTGTAGGCACTAGGGCTACAGGAGTGAATAAGTAGACGAGGTCACTGCATCCCAGGCAGAGGGATGTGTTCCAGTGAGAGGTGAACTGGGAGGGGAACAAATAAACATGGAAATAAACAAGATCATTTCTGATGGTGACAAATACCTCAATAGAAAAGAAACAGGATGATAAGAGAACGATTGGGAGGATGTCGGTAGGGAGGCTACTTGAGATCTGGGACAGTAAAGACTGCTTCTGTGCAGAGGTGACATTTGAGCTGAGAGTTGAATGATGAATGAGCCAATCCTATGAAAAGCAGGTATGGGGACAGGGAAGGGATTTCTAAGCAAAGGGAAGAGCCAGAGGAAAGCCTCTGAGACTTGCCAAGAATAGAAAGAAGAACGGGAACAGGAGATAAAATCTGAAGGGGAGAAATAAGCACAAATACATGGCTCGCACCCTCAAGCAGCTGATGACATATTAACATGCGGCTTTGATACAATCAGAGTTGAAGAGAACCTTGGGCCAGGTCTTGAAGGATGCATTGAAGTTCTCCATGAAGACAAGGAGGTGAAGAGGAAGTGCACCCTTGGCAGAAGGAGAACGATTAAAGGCAGGCCCATGTGTGCCAAGTCCAGGGATTTGCTGCTGGTTATTAGGTTTGCCTGGCGCTGGAGGTTCCTTACCTGGGGGACTTGTTAAGAAAAAAGCCTAAAGGCACAACTCAACTCCTTAGGTGTAACAACTAGGAGGTTGTGGTCTATCCTATAGGGACTAAAATTACAAATCAATCAAGTTTATATGGTGTTCCACCTAACTGAGTTTGTGTTTAAGGGTAATGCTGAAGGGTCTTTTATGATAGTAGTTAACTGCACTTTGTAAAAGAATCCACTCAAAACAGTTTTAGTGACAAATACTGAAACTATATTGTCAAAATGTTAAGGAAGGAAGACCCTTAGAAATGGTCTAGTCTAAGCCCCATTTTACAGCTGAGAAAATGGAGGCTCGTAGTGGTTTACCTAAATTTCCACATCTGGTAATGGTAGTTTGTACTAAAACCATGGTGGTTGGTATCCCTGGAAGGATTCTTTCCAATGCAACATGCTGCCTGACTCTGAAAGTGACAAAGTCAAAATCAAAAATAACTTTTAAAAACTATCACATATGCTCAATTTCAGAGCCTTAGAAAATGTCCCAAAGGTGGGGTTAGAGGAGGCTAGGGAGGGAGCAGACTCCGACTGCAAAAATGATCTATAACAAATATAACCAGAACATGACAAATCTGAACATGATACTAAATTTTATAGACTTCAACAATTTTAATATATGCATGTTCAAATGTGGTATTTTAGAGTCACTAGCCAGAACCTAGGTAGTTTTTCTGCTCCACTCTTCTGGGAAAGGAACAAACTCTTGCTGGGAAAATATTATTAAATAAGCCCTGTTACTCAGGCATTGCGGTGTCTCTTGGCCTTGGAGCGTGTCTGTTCTTTGAGAAGGTTGGAAATGCTCTCTTATGTTTGGCCTTGCAGATGCCTACAGGAGGTTTCAGAAGTACCTTGAATGCTACCAACTGTCCAATTTGCAAAGAGTAGTTTCTAATATTCAGGGCTATTTTGCATCTCTACTGATTTTTCTACTGGTAGCTTTGAGTCAGTCTTGGATTTTATGAAGATTGGAGCAGTACTTTGGCTGCAGATAGACCAGGAAGCCCAGACTGACTGTAAGCAGAAAGGGGTGGTGGTGACAAAGGCCTAGAAAATAAGAGAGCCAAGAAAGAGTAGTCTTCATGAAGGGATGGGTTGACTCAAATGCCTCTCACAATAAACAGCCCAAGCACAGCTACCAGGGTTCAATTTCTGGCTTGCTTGGGGGAGCTGAGCCCCCCAGGGACCAAAGTCACCCATGGGATCCCCTCACAGGCCCATTTGTTTTGCTGCACTAACTTGTTCCTCTGGCTACTTGGATGGCGGTAAGAAGTGCGGCTGGAGCCACACAAATTCATCATGACTGCTGATAAAAGCAACTGGAAACCTACACCCCACAGATACTCAGTGGTCACAAAGTCTGAGGTTTAGATAACATTTCTGGTTTACAGTTTCTCAGCCCACAAGTGTCATGGAGTTAAGTGATAGATTGCTAACCTCAGCTTATTTATTCTTTCTCTTGGAGGACTTCACCTGTGTTCAGCAGCACTCTGTGGATGTTCTCTGCTCTGCCTGGACATAAGGGACAGGCAAACCCTGAGCCTGAGTTGGTTTTGGCAATTCATTTGGTGTTAAGAGAACAGAGTTTAGAATGTGTTTCATGAAGTCATGTCCTAGGGAGGCTGGCAATCTGGGATTGTAGCTTGGTGAGGGTTTCAAAAAACTGTAAGGAAACAGCTGTTGAAGGTAGGTGAAAGTCAATGGATTTTGATCAATTGAAATGTGGTAAGAGAGGTCTGTGAAAATGTATCAGGATGTAAGGATAATGTGATTGAACTTTGAGAGATACATGCAACTGCTTTTCCTTCTCTTCCCAACATTCCCACACCATTAATTTTCTGCTGATGAAAATCTGACTCAGGCAGAAGGTAGAACCAATTCTATCCACCAGGTGATTTTGAAAAAGAATAAGAAAGAGAAAGGGGGGGTGGGGTGAGAAATAGGATACTAGACTGACCTCCCAACCAGTTTCCTTGTATGGACTGGAGGCTAAGGACAAGCCTGCCACCTCTGAAATAGCCTGAAAGTCTAACTAGGCAGGCAAAGGGGGTTTTGTTCAGCTGCTTTCAAAATTGCTTTTTAGCAATTCAAGAAGAGACATCAATTTCCTACTAGTATAGGAGTGTCATAGGAAAAGGAAAAGTTCAGACAGGCTCATGGGCCATAGTTAAGACATTCTGTTCTCCCTCCCATCTCTTTTCCCCCAGAGAGATTCAAGTTTGTCTCTTTTAGCTACCTCAATATAGGATTACCCTGAAGAAGATTTTGCACCAATGACTTGATTAAGTCACTGATTTGGGAGATGATCCCAGAAACACTGATGGGGAATTGAGGAAGTAAAATAGGACAGAGAAGGAAACTAGTAAATGAAATCTGACCCAGAAAGTGACCTTTATGGACAACCGAAGCTTAATCCTGCTGAAGAACTCTGGGAAATGTCTTAAAATATCCCCTACTCCCACCTGAGTTATTCCACCCAAGGAGTGAAATTTCCACAGCATTTGGAGTGTTCAGGCAAAGGGGCTCTGGAAACCAGAAAAATCTTCAGGCAAGAAATGCAGGTGTTAGACACTGTTAGTTAGATCAGCTCAAACTGAAATGGTAAGGGCTAAAAGTTGTTGAAAGCAACTCATATTTTAGTTACCAGTAGTGTTGTCTAAGTAATACTCTGGTGTAGCTACTTCTTAATGTTTCAAAAAAATTAATATTGTTTCTTGACATATCATAAAGGTCATAAAGAATTAGCTCTCTTAACTCTCTGACCCTACCACCCCCACCACAACCATACACATGCATCCACTTCCCCATCATTTCAATATTGTTCTTTGATCATTTTGGTTGGATCAATATTCACTGAAAAAAGCAGTTAGTTATGTACAAGTGAGCTCCCTCCCATAAGACTGTCAGCTGATTTCTCAACAGAAACTTGGCAGGGCAGAAGGGATTGGCAAGAAATGTTCAAAGTGATGGCCCAGCCAGGTGTGGCTCAGCGGTTAAGCACTGACCTAGGATCAAGCAGATAGTGGTTCCATTCCCAGTCAGGGCACATGCCCTGGGTTGCAGGCTTGATCCCCAGTTGAGGGCATGCAGGTGGCAGCGGATTAATGATGACTCTTTCATCATTGATGTTGCTATCTCTCTCTCTCCCTCTCCCTTCCTCTCTCTGAAATCAATAAAGACATATTAAAAAAAAAAGAAATATTCAAAGTGATGAAAAGCAAGGACCTACAACTGAGATTGCCCAGTAAGACTATCATTTAGAATCAAAGGAGAGATAAAGAGCTTCCTAGAAATAATAATAATTACAAAAGCTAAGGATGTACATGACTACCAAACCAGTATTACTAAAAATGTTAAAGGGACTTCTTTAAGAAGGTGAAAAAAAATTAAAAATATGTATAATGAAATGGCAGTAATTACATACCTATCAACAATTACTTTAAATGTAAATGGATTAAATGCTCCAAATAAAAGATGAATGGATAGGGAAGATGTGATACATTTATATAATGAAATATTAATCATCCATCAATAAATGAAATCTTTCCATTTGTGACAACCTGGATGGACCTAGAGGGTATTATGCTAAGTGAAATAAGTCAGAAAAAGACAAGTACCATGTGATTTCACTTATATATGGAATCTTTAAAAAATTAAGTAAATAAACAGAACAGAAACAAACTCAAAGACACAGAGAACATTTTGATGGTTGCCAGATGGGAGGGG